TGCAGTCCCCGTACCTACAGTGGTGCTCGGAAAGAATTCGATGAAGAGGGATGATGTTTTTGACTGTAGCCTGAGATGGGAAAAAAGTAAAAGAGGAGCGAATTCTTGAAGCCAAGCGAAAAGTTGGAATGGAATGGGAATCGGCTATTGGGATTGTGTTTCACTGAGAGGGTATAGACATGGGCACGGAAATGAATAGCCCCTCCAACTATAATTTCGCCGACAGATTTTTTTTCACAGCTGTCGTGTGTCGGGAAACACGCCCCATTCAGAAAAAACGCTTTCGATCAAATGAGTATGAAAGGGCGCCCGATCAAGTGTTTGCGGCCGAACAAAGGGCATTGGAAGCGAGAATAATCTCACTAGCTCGATTACACACATGTACACCGAGAAACTTCACTCCAGTCAGAGTAGACACACGTTTCACACTCTCTGCTAAGCACTCTTTCAAATATTCAACAATTAAAGGCACAGTTCACGATAAAATGGCTGATGAGGTATCCCTTTAGGATAATTTTGTGGCCCCTCGTATATCATACGTGGCGCTGTCAAGTACGGCTTGGTAAGGGTTTCTCGGACGAGTTTCGCCGGCATGGTAGAAGCTGCACCGGTCGCAAGTCAATCCATTTATACAGTTCAAATAACTTGTCATGCCCAATAGCGACAATGAAAGGCGGTTCTGAACGGTTCCTACATGATGTAGTCGGCTCTTTGCCCGATTACAACAACTGCATCTCGCCCGAATACCCATCCCATTTCATTTCCATCATATTATATCTTTATCCTTTATTTTTCTTGAAATCGGCGAATTTCATCGTTTTCTTCACTGTCAGTGAACTATTCCCAACCTATATCTACGCTTTCCGATTAAAAAGGGGTATCTCAAAATTATTGTGAAATGTGCCTTTAAAAGCAGAATGCGTGGCATCTCATTGTTTGGTCTGGAGAATGTCTCTAAAGCCCAGTTACGGAATTTCTCGGGCGATACTCAAACAAAGATGTAGGGAAGTGGATTTTATTAGGCATCGGATTTTCTGCAGAAAGCCTCCGTCACATTTAAACAGTCATCTTTTCGATGCCCCAAATTTACAGGCTGTCCAGGAAGCAAGAATCTTGTAGTTGCCCGGATCTACTGAGTGTACTGCAAGGAACCATCTCGCAATAAGTCAAAGTCGTTGAACGAGTGGAGAAATGGAGGAGAATGAATTCTTGGATATAGGTATTACATTTCGCATTTGTTGCACAGCAGTCTTTCTTCGGACTAACAACCCTCTGGGTAAGTAAAAAGTTCCTTTCGAAGGGTAATCGCCTACTCTCAAAATCGTCGCGGAGGAACCCGCTGGAGAGTTTTGGGTGTTGAAAGCCAATTTTTTTGTTTTTTTTTTCACTGCGTCCTATTGCATGTACTGCTCAGTCAAAGCACAATACGTTCATTCTCCTCCCAGTTTTCTCTCTCGATCCTCCTGTTCGTCACCAACCTCGAAAGAATAGGACAAATTCTTTGGGCTGATCAATCTCGTCTGAGGTATACGCCAAGCATTCGTCTTAAATTCAGATCCGTAGGGGCGCATTATATGCGTGTGTATGTCTTGCGGTAGCCAGCTGGTAGACAAGTAGAGCTTTCATCCTCCCGACAAGTCTGATCCCAAAGGCTTGATTGCTGAAGCGGACAACGACGTGGGATTAGAACCCGTGACCAAGCGTGTCTGATAGAGCGCCATTTGCCGCTACACAACCTCTGCCCTTCAGAAAAGTAATGTGAGGAAATGCAATAAGGTTGTGCAATTTGTAGAAGCACCCATAACTTCATTTTAGCGCATGGATAGCTAGAATTTGCATAGGCTACGGTAGCTTGACAGCAGCTGCCTGGTGTGCAGTTGCGACCAGTGCAGTTCTGTACGCCTACTTTAAGTCAGATGATTTTTCTCATTAGTGCGAGCATTTTTTGTGTGTAGTCATTCTTCTATCGAATAATATGAAATTTGAGATCGAAAAGTAATAACATGGGCCTAGAGATTTTCTAATTCTTGTTCAAAGCGACTTTTTGGGTGTTTTCACATTTCATATGAAACTGTCTTAATCAAAAGCGAATTGCAAAAGCTAATATATGCATGCAGATTTCTTCTACAGCCATCGCGTCTATTACTCGTTTGTAAACTTTGTGTCCCTGGTTTTTCTTGTTTGCCATAAGTTTAAATGTTTCTAATTGATACATTTTAACGTTCATCGACCACCTCATTGCGTAGCAGCATCTGTTTCTGCCGATGTTCCAATGGCATCTGAAAGGTTTCCATCTATAATGGTCATAGTTTAAGATGTATGCTGGTGAGTCAGGGTTCAGAATCGAAGTTGTTCCTTGAAAAGAAGAAAAAGGTTGCAATTGTGATCGAGGCTAGCTTTCTAACTAATGAATGAACCACTAGTTTTATAATGAATATGCACAGCAAATATTTATGTTAGTTGAACATAAATCGAAAGCCAGGGATTACTGGAGTCGTATGGGTTTCCTTGGATAAAAAACCGGAAATCATGTTCAAGAGGCTTCCAGAAATTTCATCGTTTTCAATCTCTCTACAACTTTGGGGATGAGCTGCTAGATTTCTGTGATTGTCCCATCAGTAAACTCGGTTCGATGGCTAGATTGTAATTCCTTCAAAGAATCATCCCGGGGTTGTTGCTTGTCCCGTTCTCGGATCAGCTTCAGCTAATTGCTTAGTCATCACGGCTGAGTTTATGCTGAGAACCGGTTCTGGCAGCTCAAGCCCACAAACTCTGACGCAATTTTTGGACTGTTCAGGGCAGCGGGACAGTTGTCGGGGTGGAGCGCCGTCTCCGTCCGACGGACGGCCGTGTCTTCCCTCTCCGATGACTCATTCAAATTGATTGCAGGTCGTTACTCGATATTCCGATCAAATCAGCGCTAACCCATTTGAAGGCTGGGCAAGAGATTGTAAAGGTTTCCCGGTCAATTGACAGCTCTCTGCTTTTCGAGTGCTCCTGTGATCGCTTTCGGGTTTAGATATACTGAGTTTCTATTTAAATTCCTTGAAAGCTTCATTTTTGGGCTCGAAACTTTCAGGGCCTTTATTGAACATGTATTTGTTAAATTCCTCAAAAGTGCTTTGCAGTAATTTATGGGATTAGAGTTGCTTCACAGATATTCCTGTTGAATAATATGCGTTTTCGATGACGAAGCTTTCTTTCCTTATCTCACCTGCCTAATATTTGATAAGAATCTGCTCTGAATGTCTGACTCATTGTCTTTGCTAACTAAGTTCTGCAATATTTGGCACGCAAAAATTTATCGTTCCTTATCTCCACCATTATTCTGCAATAATGTTTTTCAGATGAATCAATACAGCTTTCTAGCTGTGCCATTGAAATCCACAAGTGATGTGGATCTAGTGAAGCCACTGACACTGTACATTGACACTGTATATAAAACGTCAGAGGACAACAAAGCGGAAGTAGCTGAAGCTGTGCAAGTCAGTTTATTTGTCGTTCAATAAGCCGTTTAAAGTTGAAAATTTTAGGAGCATTCTTTCGGGTTTGAAAGTTTAGCGGCGGCTGCAACCGAGTTAAACGTATATTTATAGAAGTCCAATGGCGAAAAAGATTTTTTGAGATGAGGATGTTTGTTTTCCCATTGTGGGAGCGACAGAGATGAATGCAGTGTTACTTTGTATTTGCATAAGGTCCTCTTATTGACGGCGCATTGCGAAGCAATGTTTTATGAACAGGCCAAGCATATAACTATTATAAATTGGTAATACTTCCTCACCAAAGTCGAAGTGTGAAACCGCGGGCATCGCTCTTATACGGTGAAGGTCAGAAAAACATATCTAGTATGTATGAGATGTGAGGAAATCCCACGCTTCTGTCGGATTAAAGGGGCTAAACCAACTGTTCATGGTGAAGGACCAGCTCTTGAGAGGGGCTGAGAAGTCAAGCAGGTGTGCTCCCTTACGATCCGGAAGAAATTAATCTAGGAATTGCTTACAAAGCTATCCATGCAAATGAAGCCAAGGGGAATTATCATGTTATGGATGTAAATTCAGAAACGAGGCCAAAATCAACGAATTACCGTTACACCTTTTTAAGGCGGCGTCATCTTAATGCCCTCTTCATACCAATGTTTTCGAAATTTAGCTAAGGTAACAAAAATGCGTCGTCATTGCGCTAGGCTTTTGGTTCTTTAACGTCGAGGCTTTATCTTCTCGTAAATTAGTTGCATTTTTGAATTTGGCTGAATAAATTAACACACGCAAGTTTCTGTGTTACTTCAATAATCATGAGGAAGTGTATAATGTCTGGATAATTTCATATAATACATTTTCTTGATAGGAACTGAATAAACTTCGATCGAAAGCCTGCTGCCAACCACTGGATAAACATCAGTCAGCACTTGACATAGTCACACGGTAAGACTTCATTACTACCTCCTCGAATCTTATGCTACTTATCGTTCCTTTCGCATTTTTGACAACCGCTGCTCTGCTTTTTTCGATGACATACACTCTCTGGGTCGCTCTATACACTTGAATCAAGTTCTCATGGATAGAGGTGCTTTACATCGTTATTCTGTGTAATATTACTGTAATCCTACCCTCAACATGTAGATATTATTTCTGATAAGTGTGGAAATGCTAATTTTCTATCATACATATGCTTTTTTGACGCCTTCATTGGGCTTATTTTCGTAGGTTTCCCCCATAACTCTTGTTCTAAATTTTAAGGAGCTGCGTACATGAAAGGCCGTACGGAGTTGCATGCCTTGGTGATGATTGCATGCATTTTACTGTTCGTTTTGATATTCATTTCTCGCTTTTTCCAGGATCTTAATTTTTTGGGCCTATTCTCTTTTTTTTTTTGCTTTCTACTTTGTTATTCCATTTTTGACTGATCGGTTGAATTAAAATCACTAGTTTACCTGTCATAAAAGAAGTTTTCATATTCATGGACCTCAAGAGGTACCATTTGTTAGGAATTGTTGTAGGCTGATGAAGTGTGATCCGTAATAATTCTCATTCGTCTGTCGTAGTTGATAATTTTGTAGGTATTATGACCAACTGGTTGCTATTGAGAACAAGATCATCATCTCGGCCACACAGAATCCCGTTGTTTTCAAATGGAAAGATGCGTTTGACAAGGGTAGCTTGTTTTTCAGCAAGGTATTTTCTAAGTTATTTATGATATTGTTACTGTAGTATTTATTACCAGCTCAACTGTTTAATATGTGGAACAATTCTCCATCGAGCTCCTTTTCTAAGAATTACTCAATAAGCAACTCTTCCTGTGTTCCTGTGTTTATTTACGCTGGAACTTCTTCAGGCTTCACTATCAATATCAGATGGAGCGTTCGAACGTGCAGCCGTTTTGTTCAACTGTGGTGCTCTGATGTCACACATAGCGGCCTCTCAGCCTCTGTTAACAGATGAGGAAATGAAAACGGCTGCAAAGCTTTTTCAACAGAGCGCAGGTAATGAGTGCCCATGGTGTTGATTTGAACCCTTTTCTTCTTGTAGCCGAGCTTGTGTGGCTAGTTTTGTTTTGATTTTCCCATGTGCTTGGAGTTGTATTACGGTGATTAAGGCGTCTTTGCNCGTCTGCGAGATACAGTGTTAGGAATGGTTCAACAAGATCCCACTCCCGACCTAATGCCGGACACTCTCGCTGCTCTTAGCGCTATTATGCTTGCTCAAGCACAAGAATCCATTTACATCAAAGCTTACAAGGGTGAGAGAGACTACCTCTAATCGAGAAGTTGTGTTTTCAGTCATTAAAATTGCTAATAGTGCAGTATAAGTACTCTTTTATAGTATTGATGCTCTCTTGGTAGGCTATTCTTGTTCAGATAAAATGAAGCCATCTGCCCTCGTCAAAATCTCAGCGCAAGCAGGCGATTTTTATCAGGACGCTCTTAAAGCAATGAATAGGGATGCTGTAAAAGGATTATGGGAGAAGGTACTCCAAACACTTTTATTTTTCTACTTAGTTCTATACTAAAGGTGGTTCATAAAATTCTTTTTAGGAATGGGTACATATTATAACTGGGAAGATGTTTGGATTCCAAGCAGTCTCTCAGCTACACCAAGCCGGGGTAAGACCGATCTCATTTGTTTTCTGGTCTTGAAAGTGTTACGTAATGGCGGCCTGAATTGTAGTTTTCCTTATCGGAATAAGTGATTTCAAATCCACATATGAAGTTTTGTAGATCAATGCAGAGCAGCAAGAAATGAGTGAGCAATTGAGCAGACTAGGTGAAGCACTGAAACTGTCAGAGATGGCAGCTAAGTACTTACCATCGGGATGCATGGCAGAGCAACTCAATTCGATTCAGAAAATGTACACTGCAGCTAAGAAGGATAATGATTTTATTGTAAGTTGTTTTGACAAGTTTCTCTTTTTTCCGGCAATAGAGGGATAATTCAATGCACTCCATTGAGCGCTTGTGTGCTCCTCTCTCACCACCTTGGCGTATGCAATTTTTTTTCCGCGATCGGCTCTTCATCGGTCTCTGCTTGGCGAAGATCTTCCCCATTTTTCGATTGAAGTTGGTGGCAAGTTCATCGCTTGGCGGTTTATCGGAATTGTCTTTTTCGGCAATGAGCATTACCTCAGTAATGATGGAACTTCTGAAGGGCACTATAAGAAGTTCATTTTTACAAAGACAACTTTGCCTGAACGTCAGCAGATAACATCGCCATTAATTTCATAGGCTCAAACACAAATTTGTTTCTTTCAAATAATCTATAGCTTTTGAGACATTAGCACTTTTTTCAATAGCCACAAACATGGAGTCAGTGCCGAAGCGTTTTTTCAGCCATACTTTTTCGGCTCTTCATTTTTATCGTATTCAGCCCAGCAGCTCCTGTAGTAATCGTTCCATTGCTTATTGAGCTCATTTAGTACCATGAACGCATTGCCGACTTTCGTTCTCTACCTGCCCTACCGCGAGCTGCTTTGGCCAAAGCACTTCCCGTTACTCATCCTATTTCTCCTCGATTCAAGGGTAGGTTTTTCTAATTAAGGTGTCATGTTCTTTTGCAAAATCGTTCAGTCATACTGCCAAGGGAGATTAATTTAACATTATTTTTAGATATGTTCGCAAGTGTCGTACCAGTACAAGTTCATAATGCCATGCAGTGTTATGAAGGCCGTAAAGCGGAACTGGTAAATATTGAAACCGGAAGGCTTCGTGAGCACACTCAGTTGATGAATGGGTAGGTTTTTCCATAAAGTTTCTAATCAAGAATAAGTTACTAAGAATGCATCAGTCTTTCATATCGCAGCTCTTTTTCGATAACTTTCTGCGGCTGCTATCACTTTCTTAGTTTCTTTTTTGCATATAGAAGTTTCTTTCGCCGTGTGAGTATTTGTGATTAGATAATTCAAGTTCAGTGATAGAGCTAGTTTTCTGCTTGTTTCTAAACTCTCTTTTCAAGAATCCTGGCTTCCTTGAATTTACCGGCTGCTCTGGACGACGTTACGTCGATGGATACCTTGCCTGAATCGATAAAGCAGAAATCTGCAAAGGTAGGTCATTGTAGGTTACTAGTGTTCCAGATTCGTTTTCAACTTCGATTCAATGCGCTATTTCAGATAAAGCAAGCAGGTGGAATAACTGAACTGCAGCGATTGTTCAGCGAGTTACCAGGACTCTACAAACGAAACGAGGAGATTTTGGATGAGGTGAGAATAGAATCTGTTCCCAAAAATTGTTAGTTTCTGTAACTTCACTCCTCAAACTTCTATTTGTGTTAGACGAACCGTGTTTTGTCGGAAGAAAAAGACAGTGATGACACTCTCCGTCGTCAATTCGGGACGAAATGGACGCGGATGAGCAGTGAACAATTGACTGGACCATTGCTACAGGTATGCTGTTCAATTTCGTTAGTTAGTACGTAAAATATTGCAGAGTATTCTTCTCTTCCTTTCTGCTTCTTTTTTATCCAATGTAAGTGATTGCCCTATCGAAGTGACATTTTCTAAAACTTTCTTCCCTATTTCTACAATATTTCTTTTTTAATTTCTTTTTCTGTACTGTCTATTCACACCGTGTATTTCGAGCCATTTTTCAATTTTTTTCACCAGTGCTCCACCCTAGAATATTTGGTCAATGTGATTTTGTTAAGGAGATCGGCAAGTATCGAGGCATTCTGCACACAGCTTCGAATGCTGATAAAATGGTCAAAGAGAAATTCGAGACGAACCGAGCAGGCATTGAAATGCTGAGCAAAAATGAGGTAGATTCTTTTTTCCGGAATTGAAGTCTACTTGTTTTCACGGTCTACTTGATTTTCACGGCGTATCTTTGAAGGTTGAACTACGCACTTCCATTCCCAGCCAAGCACAGCACGCTGTTGGTGGAGCATCTGAAGCAGTGACAAAGCTTCGCGAACTGATGAATCAAGTGCAAGAAATCAAAGTGCAGCGAGAGAAATTGGAAAAGGTATTTTTCCGTAGCCATTGAGAATACCTTCAATTATTCGTTCGTATTTTAGGATTTCAAAGCCGTTCGCTCTGATATCGCAGATGATCTTTTGAAAGCAATGGCTGAGAGTCAGATTCTGAACGAGGAGCAGATATCGAAAGAGAAAATTCAGGAGGTACGATATCTGATATCCAAGCTTCGAATATCGCAGATATTTAATTTCTATTATTATATTTGATTCCAGATCTACGGGCCTCTGAAAGAACAAGTGGAACAGAGTATCAAACAACAGGATCACATTATGGCTGAAGTTCAGGTGATTCTGGGTCATTCTGCTTCCGCTTATCATTTATTATATTTTTTGAAGTCTTTTGTCCTTCTACCATGGTCGATGTAATGCTTGCAGACATGGAATAATCGCTTCACCGCTGAAAAATCGGGGTCAGGTACGGGTGCGGAGAGGGAACGTGTGCTTAAGATGCTTGCCACTGCTGCTGATTCCTTCCACGAACTCAAAGGAAATCTCGAGGAGGGAACCAAAGTTGGTTTTATGTTTTATTTTCTCATACTATTTCACATCGCATCCCAGTAAGTCGTGAAATATGTAATACTACTGCATGTTTCAGTTCTATAACGATCTCACGCCTATACTGGTGCGGCTTCAACAGAAAGTCAGTGATTTCTCGTTTGCTCGTCAAACAGAGAAAGAGGATCTGATGCGTCAAATGCAACAGAATATTGTCTCCGGAGGAGGGTCTGGTGGTGGCGGAGGCGGTAGTAAGTGAATGACTTCTCAACTATTTTGAAGTGTTTGTTTCTCAAGAATCATGATCTAAATTCGGTGTTCAGGTGCGGCTAAATCTCCCCCTCCTCGTCCTCCTCCGCCTGCTTCTCGCACTGAAGTTGAACCGCCAATACCACCACCGCGAACACAGCAAAGCCTGCAAGGTATGATTTATTCGATAGGAATGACGAAATAGCGTTTTGGAATATTTTTTTTGTTGGCTAAATGATGTTTGCACCTTTTGATGGTTCACCATAATCAGAGTGTTTAAAGGTAAGGAAAAAGCGAATTTGCATTCGTAAAAGGTGTGGTAAAGGTGGAATATATGGGAACCCCTCACTGTAAGTTGGTTTTATTTTCTTGGGGATGAGCTTTCTGCGGTAGTATTTTCAGTTTGCGAAATTTATTGCTAGTGGAGCATATTCACACTAACAGCTACTCTTTTCTACGGGTGTGAAAACGGTTGCTCGAATAATTCATAAGATTGACATTGTCAAGCAAGCTTTTTTGGATGAGGGTTTTTTCTATGCTTTTAATCCCACAAATGTCATTGTTCTTGTGGGCACTTTACGAAAGCTGAAGCAGCCGTCCTCGTTAGCCTTACTTGTTCGAGAAGTTTTAAATAACTAGAGGATTACTCCCTCAACGGCAAAAAAATGTCTACCAATTTTGAATAGCTTCATCTGATGATGATTTTCTCAATATTTTGCACGAGGAAGTTTTTTTAGCTGGCCATATTTTATTATACTGACTAATTTGTTAGCGTTTTTCAAAACGTATAAGGGAGCCTCCAAAAAAGTGCACAAATACGTGTGCTCAGTGCAGTCCTTTTAAGGCTGTTATTCTTAATGTGACTATTAATTTATGGTTCCAGTTCTGTGGTGTCGAATAAAAATATTTTACTTTTGAGTCTATTTCGCCAGGAACTGTCACTCATATTTCACAAGTCCGAGTTAAATAACTACGGCCTTCATCGACGGCACTTCTCAAATAAAAAGCACCTCACCGAATAAGACACGAAGTACACGAGAAAAAAAATCAGTCGGGGAGTTGGTATGTAGGCCATTTTAACAGCAAACCCTCCTCCATATTGTTCGAAAACTGATGTAGTCTGGTTACGATGTCGCTACTTTTGCTTGCTTGACTCGTCGGTGTTTCAAAGCTTGTGTTGTGTGTTCCTCAGCTCCGATGTGTTATAAAGCAGATGGTGGAACCTTCGAAATTATTGTGGAGTGTTCATAATATTCGTGTTGTGATGTTTCCAGTATGATATTATCTATTCCTCCCTACAGCAGTGCCTGGCGGAACACCGACTGCACCAGTGCAGCAACTTGCTCCAGCACCGCAACTTCCGCATCCAGGATATTACCAACAACCCGTGCCATATGGTACGGCATTTTGTGACGTTTTACGTCTGTTTGTTTGCTGTTTCTAACAACTTCATTAGTGCTTCCACAAGGCATGCTATCTAATGCCTTCCTCACTGCTGTAGTTTTTCTGAATTCAGTTGTTTACAGCCTCTTCGAGAAACATCAACATTATAATGATATTCCGATTACAACTCTATATTACGAACTGTTCTTTTTCAGGTCAACCGCAGCCATTCTTATATCAGCCACAGTACCAACCTAACTTCGCCAATCCTTACCCGACATTCCCAGGAGCGTTTCCTAACTACCAACAAGGCTATGGTCATTTCCCTCCCCCACCTCAACAACAGAATCCTTTCGCTCCAGGCTATAATACGCCCCAACAAGGGTACAACACACCACAGCAGTAGATGTAAGAACTTTCAATACAATGTTTACTGAATGTGAGTTTATTTTGGTTCACTATGATTACATGATGAATTATGAATTTCTCATGCAAATGTCTTCTAAAAATTGTTTGTTTCTTGAAAACTTGAACATTCCTTGCTACTTTCTGTTCTTATGAGATCGAGATTTTCTAGCTTCTGATAAATTTTAGCTATTTCTCAAGCTGGTTTTAGAAGAAAACGGTTGTATCGAAGCCAGGTAGCGTGAGTCGGCTTAACATTGTATTTAGCACCGCATGGTTTACTCAATAGGCTTGTAAGGTTTAAGCTGCCTTCTCAACGTAGTTTAGTTTATTTTCTTGCGATGGCATCGAAAACTGTTTTATGCTTGAGTTTGTAATGTTGTGATACCACTTTGTATTCTTCTTATTCTTTGCTTATAGCGATATATAAACATTGATCCGGTATTCTCTCACCACGTAGTGCTCGCGAACTCACTCCTTTTTTTATAACCAGCATAGATGAAGTACTACTCACAATCAGTAGATTTTTTCCATCACATTTGGGCTGAATGTCATAGGCGGGGGTGATTATGTGGAATGGGTCAGAATGGTCCTATTCCTCAGCTTAATTGTTGTTTTTTTTTGCTAGAACGAATTCGAAACACCTTACCAAGGCATTTTGAGGAAGCTGTATATCTGACGAATCTTAGCGAACCCACGAATACTTAAAAAATTATACCCGCTAATCTGCCGGAGAACTTTTCGAACGTACATAGAAAATTGAAATGAACAACGATCGTTGTGAAGAAAGTCGTGAGCCAGACAACAACAGAGCTAATCAAGCTTGAACTGACTGACTTAACTTAAAGGCGCAGTTCAGGATAAATGTAAAGTTACTTTTCACGATGGATGCGAATTTCGAGAATTCTCCCTAGGATGGATCTGTCGGCGCTGTCGGGTCGAAAGACGGTAAAGGCAGTGCGGTTATAAGACCCTAAGAATTGGCTTAGCTGACGTACACACCCAACGTGGACGAGTTCTCACGGCGTTGTGAAAGCTGTAGAAGTTGCACCCAACGCACCGGGACGCACATGTTGCACGCAGACGGCTGAACTGTATAGTAGCCAGCTGTACACAATGGCGCACGCATTTGGATACTCGTTCAAATACCCCGGTAGAGTTTTTCTGGTCATATTTTTGTCCAACCTTTAATGTTACTACTATTTTGGAGTATTGTGTTCCCTAAATAAGCGGTTTCTCGCTTTTTCTCCTCCACTTTTGCATTATTCTGGACTATCACTTCCATATTCACTTAGAACTAGATACCCCAGAATTACGGCAAGGGACATCATTGCAATATGAGAAAGACGGTTAACTTTGACAACAGGCAGGTGTAGAAATGAGTGGCAATTGCGAGTCAAGCGTTACTTCGCCTACTCTTTAAATACTAGTTCAAGTACAGCACATATATGTATGGAAGGATGCAGGGCGAGATTATACATAACAATCTAGTAATAGCAGGAATATGAGGGCAAGAGGCTATCACAAAGCCAAGTTGAACAATGATGATTGGCGATCCTAAACCAACATTCGTTTTGGGAATGGCTTTTACAGCCTCATGGCGCATGGTCTATCGTACTGAGGAGATTTTCACTTGCGCTCATCGTTTTGCCTGGAGAACTCATCATAAATTTCGATGTAAGGACGTGAATTACGCTTGCACGAACCCTCTTTTAAATCCGTGAAACAAAGGGTCCCAGCAATTTCTCTCTACTAGAGAAACTAATTGGTAAGTTCACTTGAGCAGTGTGTAATTCCCTCTTCTCGTGCTCTATCGGCGATCGTAATTCTTCCGAGAGGGACGTATCCGACCGTAGCCGCTCAAGTGGTGTACTTGGTGTTGTTGTTCGTCATTTCGCCGGGAGTTGGTCAACCAAGCACACTCATCTACTAGCGGCGCTCGTGTCAGGACCGTTTACAACTAACGTCGTGCCCGGCAGGTACAAGGCGATTGCCGGCAACCTGGTTTCGGCCGGATGGATGACAAGAGAACGGCACCAAAGGCTCTTTGAATGAGAAGAGGAAGATTGGAGAGCAGATTATTTCTCAGACATCTAAACACTGCACTAAATTAGGAGACGCCCCATAGCACAGATTTATCAACATGCCACTACTTTGTTTCTGACAGTTGTGGCAGATATTGGTTTTATACTCTTTTGGGGCGCAATGGTGGATGTGATTTGGTCCTAAATTCGAGCGAGTGTACCACCAGGAGCACGTACCAGTTGACCGTTCACCCGGATGCTTGAGTTATCAAAGACATTCTCAAGACTAGAAGGCAGAGAAGGTTGAGAGATTTCTCACGTAAAAGCATCATTGACGCTGATCGTTATCAGTGTTCTATCGCAGTAGGAGGGGACTCAATTGGTAAAGAGGCGGTTTCCGATAAGAATGACTTTTTCTATGAACTTCCATAAGACAAATCTTTGACCTCAAAGGAGGTGACTTATGGCCTTGTCGCGTCAAAAAAGCGGCCTATTTCGCAGTTCGTCTCGGAGCCTTGGAAACTATTCCAAACGCCGGTTTCGTAAAAAGACTCACAGGGACAGCTCATGCCAGGTGACCCTCTAAAGGGTTGGCAACACGTAGCTGAGTTTTTCCTTAATACTTCCATCATTTATCTCGAAAGGTAACTGCCTAAGAACCTGTTTTTTGAAGTGATTGATTTAAAGTTATAAATCAGATACCTGCAGATTTTATGGTCAATATATAATTGAATGAAAAGTTCTTTCATGGAGAAAGAATTATTTATGTTTCTTTGAAATATATTGCTTAGTTGTTAACTAAACAGAAGCTAAAGTGGGACCATGGCGGACCATGACGCACAATACAAAGAATCCTGTTGCTCAAGAGCTACTTAAATTTACTGGAACTTCTTTTAAACATTTCCTTTCGTTGACCTCGTGTAGCCTCAGGAATGAACTGATTTTAATAGGGCGATACATCCCGGATTTCTATGGGTATGTGGCGCCAACGACGTGATGAGGCGCCAAAAACGCACTGTTCTGCATCATTGCTCTCACTCTTTGACCCAGTAGGATGTATATAAAATTATCCAGATCTGAGTCTTTAAATGGTTATTTCAAGCAGCAAAGTATGGAAGAAATGGGAGTGTCGTGAGGACGAAATGGGATGTAATACTACTTTGTCGACAGTCCGCTCTACTAAGAATAAATTGGCATCTGAACAAATCATTGCCTGCAACAGTCAAAATCTTAAATTATCTAATCAAGGAAATCTTATACTTGAAGCGGTTCGGAGCTTCATATGCGGCTCACCCTACCGAGCGCCTCAGCATACTAGACCCGTGGTGAACCCACAGTGATAACACTAATTCCCAAGAACTCAAAGAAAAACCATTTCAGAAAAGTCACCAACATTGACGCAGTTCTACCAGTATTAGCCTTTTTTGAACAGAGATTCCAAGTGAGCTAGGGCTTTGAGATAGTGACATCACCTCTTTCAATCCTCTTCAGACCTCGCGGGTGCGGTGAAATGCAGGGCGTATAACCAATACCTGCTGCCACCGAATGGAAACGGTAAATTTGTTGTTATTGGTGTTTTCACACGATTGTTATCAGTCGCAATCAGTTCTTCGTTGGTGTCCGATGCTTACTAATTGCAAACGACAGGGACGATTCTCACCGATGGGTGGCCGACTTTAAATTGATTGTTGGCAGTCACCGACTGGACCTTTCTTGCGGTTTTTCGATCCTGTATCGATCGCGGCGACCCGAGCGGGCGCCTAGCGCGACGAGGTGCTTCGATGCAATTTCCGTGCAATTTCACCTTGGAACCCTTTGCTTTCCTCATTTGTCTCTGTTCTACCTTATGGAGGAGATATCGTACCTATAATTATGGGCTATTTTCATATAAGTGCCTAGAAATTTTCGGTACTACCTCAATTATTGTTAAACTGCCTATTTTAAAGTTCTGTTCGCTCCAAAGATTACTGTTATTAGAAGCAAAACTGTCATTACCTTAGGATTATGCTAACTAAAAAGGGAGGAAAGGAAAGAGAAAGAAGGAGGTGGTTATTAGTTCCTGAAGCTCTACCTTCTGAGCAACATCCCTAAACTATTAGTTTTACTGAAAGAAATAAAATACCAATGAGAAATAAGTCCTGATGAAAGTTATAAATAGGAAAAGGCTGTTACTTGCTTTTTTGTTCAGTTATTGTTGTGTATTGCTTATTTATTGAATTATTGTTTTCTTTTGAATCTCTCCACCTCTAGTGTAAAGATGTCTTCATTCTCAATATTAACGCTGTCGTATACATGACCATGAGTCCCTGTAAATGGTCCTGATTAATTATTCAAATTATTTCTATCGATTCTTTTTTCATATATTATTATTGATTAGTTGGTCTAATGAAAAATAATTTTCGGCTGATTGTTTTGCTAGTATAGTACCGTTGGAGAGAAAGCGCTGCTTTTGTGAACAGACTGGCGCTTGATTTTGTCGTTCGAATTTTCATTTCTTAAGTTTTTAATTCTTTTTTTCTCGACATTACTTTCAGTCAGTTGAAAGATGCCTTTCTTCGTCATTTGCGTTTCTCTATCCAATTTTTTATACAAATTTTTTTATTCTTCGCCATCGTTCCCATGCCATTTCTGGCTGCATGGATTTCTCCGCTCAAACGCACCTTATTGTTTCAATTATTTTCTGGGCTGTTTATACAATTCCTGACCAAAACCAATTTTCAGTCACTTTCGAATTAATGTGATAAAGGAGTTGATAATGGCTTCAGAGGACTACTAGTAAATTTTTTATTTTCTTTTAAATTCATCAGGGAATCCTTAGTCGTGAGAATGCTTCGTGTTTTAGAGGTACTTAAAAGCATCATTTGTATTGTCGTCGTTGAATATGTTTGATGAGTGGAGATGATCGTGATATTTGCTCGACAAGGACACGCCCGCTAATTTCCTCTTCAGAGCTTTTAGACCGACCGCGCCACCTCAA